GATCACACCCGAAACAATTATTTCACCATAATGCACGATGTTCTTATCGTTAGATTCAAAAATCACTATTGAATATAGGTATTATGGGATCGTTCAAATCTTATGTGGATGTACTTATTGGGTCATCCCAATAGGGAGATCGGTATATCCACTATTGAATATAGGTATAACAATACAACAACAACAATTGTCGATACAACATCTGGTCAACAATGTGAAATTTGGTTCAGAAGTAGGTAACAATAACATCAAAATGACTTTCAACTTTTTGAAAATGTTTAAAGTTTTCGTAAAAAATCAATGTGGTCATCATAGAGAATTTGTAAAAGAAAATGCGCTCATCCAAAAGTGAATAAATTATATTATTTTTTCTTCAAAATATATATGTTGATTATAGATAAATAGTTATGAACTGCTAAGTCTCATTTGTTATTTTGTAGGTCTATTGGCACCAAGTAGTTACTTGATTCATATTGAAGGTGTAGATCTTGAAGAAATCGTTAGAAAGTAACATGTTACGACACTTATACCATATACTCAAGCATGATTAGACTATGACATTGACGGTAATAACTTAAGTGAAATTATTATTATTTTTTAATAAATTTCATATCTCTGATCGCACCCGAGACATTCTTTTCACCATCATGCACGATGTTCTCATCGTTGATTAAGAGATCACAAAGAATCCTCAAAGCAATAATGCCATGAATCAAAAGTAAAGCCATAACAATTTTGTAAAATTTATTTGATCCAATTTTTTTTTGTTTTATCTATCGACATATTGACAAGTTGTTGAATTTCATTCTACACATACACCAGTGGTTGTGTATTGACTTTTCTTAGACTTATTTTTCACTATTGTTCCCTTAAATTTATTGTACCACAGAACCATGGGCACTATAACTTCCCCCTTAAGTAAATATCTTAAGTTCTCAATAATATCTTCCGGATTGTATCTAGGTATCGTTGTACTCCACCTTATTCTGATTCCTACACAACCATTTACAAGAACCATCAAAATGACGGACATGTAACTAACACGCAATCACATATCAAGTTAACAACAATCTTTCAAAAGATAAAAAAATGTATAGACAAAGAATTACCAGAGCTGTTGTATCTTTTGCTCGTCTTCGATCTCGTAATCAAGCAAGGTATTGTCTTCCTCGAGAAACAATAACCTTGTTAATGGAAAGAGAGCTTAGTTCTCGTAATCATGCACGATGTTCTCATCGTTGATGAAGAGATCACGATGGAAGACCATTCTAGATCGTTTAAAACTCATGGAGATCTACTTGGAAAGTTGGCAGATATGCTTACGTTTTATCGTCAAATTGTACGAGAACGGTCGTTATCTCAATTTGCCGCAATATTCTGTCCGAACAAAAGAAGTTATCCAAGACCATGAAACAAAGCATGAATCAAACATATTTATTGTCATTCTCTCTTAATTTTTTTTGTTTAACGAAAACAAGATATTCTTAATTTTACTTTATCTAAATCGTCTCTCTCTTTCATTTTTTGGCTTCGATTGGCCGTACCATACTAACTTTCCATGGCCGCTTCTTACCGAAGCACCGACTTGTTTCCTTCCACTACTAATAAGCCTCGTGGGTTTCACTTAAAAAAGAAGAAAATGTTGAACCTTTTGATTTCATTCTCCAAGAAGAGATTTTGTCCCTTTTACTGTGTTTGTAACTTGTAAAGCTTTGCCCTTTTGGCCTTCTTGTTTGGATTGAGTCTTGGGTTTCTCCAATTCACTTTGATCGTACGATTTTGAGTAATCATCACTGTGTTATGTGCTTATATGTTGTTTTTATCTTTGATTTGTTAGGTTCACTTCAGGCCTTAAACATGCTTGAGAGGGATATGGTTGAGAAGTTAACAAATGACCAGAGTGTTCTCAAAGATCATGTAAACTGATTATTGCATTTGCTCGGTCTTATAATGTCAAATGTTTATTGGTTTTGTTTTGTATATAAGTACATTGCAAATTCTCCAACACTGAAATATCGTTTGTATGACATTTGTGTAAAGATTTTACAGGACACGACTAGCGTTCGCCTTTTTATGGGGATTCGTTTTCTGAGAGTTCTTGCGGTTTTAACGCAGAGTCATTCCATATTGGAGGTTAGACCTATATGATA